AAAAAAATCGTACTTATCATTTAAGCCTGTAGACTCACTATCAGCTGCATTAAGGTCTTCATATCTGGATTTTGTCGTGCAGTGAAGTCTAAACCTGAAGCTCTCCAGTCTGACATCTCAATTAGTTTGAGATCTGTACCCTCAGTCCCAGCTGACCTGACCACATTTTCTTCCATTAATCTGTTGGTACGCCAGGACGACCCCAAAACCTAACCCAACACACTTCTCAACAGCCTGGACAGAAATCACACTCCAGCACTGAAACTGTTCCAAAACTCCACAAGCACAATCACACCACCTGCCAAAGTCCTGATTAGCCTAATTCCAGCACACACCAATAACAGTCTTTCCCAATTTTGGCTTCTCAAACGGTTACTAAAGCTATCAGTCGTCCGGTTGTGTTATCCTCCTGTGTGTCGTTAGAGTTGATTTGATTTCTCTCTCTCTGGCGGGAAACTAGGACGCCATTAGGTTGTGAATGTTACATTTGGATAGTGGTCAATATTCCGTATTTCTCACTGGCGAGAGAGAGTCTGCTCACTAAAAATCAGTGCTAAATGTGAAATAGTGGAACCTAGTCAACATGAAATGAAAGTTGGATTGGGAATATAGGGTTTTTAATTGGTCTTGTTCTGCAAAATGTAACAACTTGCTCCATATCTTAATTTTTCTTTTTGGCTGAAGTCACTAAGGCTTTCAGCGGTCCAGTGGTGCTTGGTCTTTTGTAACTTTGTGTACGTAAAGGGCTTAAAATTACACTGTTAGACTTCTCAGGGTTTTTCCCCAAATACATGAAGTATGTGCTAAAACATGGAGCTGGCCCAGAAGCAGCTTGATAATGTTGTAATGATGGAAATATGAAGTGACTGCTGAAATATCCATACTGTGTGACTGAACTTATGCTTTTAATGGAACAAGACAAATCTTTCTAATGAATCATATGAAGCAAATCAGTGAATACATGTTTTTGTGTTATGCTGACTATATTGGCTTATCTCAGATCAACCCGATCTCATGAAAGTGCATATAAATAGTATGCAAAATAAAAACAAAAACTTGTGGTATTGATACGCAAAAATGGACTTTGGCGTGTATATGCTACGCAATGGGTAGGTTTAGGGTTGTGGGGTAGATGCGTATCATACGTACGCGAAAACTGCGTATAATATGCATGCCAACAAATTTCGTATCATATGCACGCGAAAACTTGCGTATTATATGCACGCCAAACACATGCGTATCATATGCACGCCAAAGTCCATTTTTGCGTATCAATACCACGAGTTTTCGTTTTTATTTGGCGTACTATTTATTCGCATTTTCATGAGACCGGGCTCCTCAGATAGATAAATCAAACAAAGACATGCCATATTTCACCCCAAAAAGAAATGGAATAAAAAAGAATTGCATGTGGCATAAAGAAAATGAAGAATGAAATTAAAAATTCTGTCATTAATTACTCACCCGCATTTAATTCCAAACCCATAAGACCTTTGTTCATCTACACAAATGTTATGATGAAATCCGAGAGCTTTCTGACCCTGCATAGACAGCAACGCAACTGAAACGTTCCCAAGCCCGGAAAGGTAGTAAGGACATCGTTAAAATAGTCCATGTGACATGAGTGGTTCAACCCTAATGTTATTGTTACGGGGCTGACGAGACGTGAGACGTGCGGATCCATATAAGCTATGAGAATACGTTTTGTGCACAAAGAAAACTAAAATAATATGTGTCACGGTACTGTTGTGAATGCGCGTCGAAGACTGACATGGAAGAGAAGAAATTGTTGAATATAGTTGTTATTTTTGTTTTCTTTGCACACAAAAACCATTCTCGTAGCTTCATAAAATTAAGGTTGACCTACTGATGTCACATGGACTATTTTAACGATGTCCTTACTACCTTTCTGGGCCTTGAACATGTTAGTTATGTTGCTGTCTATGCAGGGTCAGAAAGCTCTCGGATTTCATCAAAAATATCTTAATTTGTGTTCAGAAGATGAATGAACGTCTTACGGGTTTGGAATGACATGAAAGTGACAGAATTTTCATTTTTGGGTGAACTAACCCTTTAAATCTCATTTACATTTTCACATATTCATACTTGGCACATCATGATCAGTTATAAGACAGCTATGTTATCTTCACACACCATGTTTCAGTGTGCAATGGCACAAATGAGAGAGTCAAGAGTAAAAACAGGCCCACTTTTCAGTCAACTATAGCTATGTTTTCATCACCCTGCTTTTATACGCATTTTGAAGTATCGCATCAGAAACGAGTGAAGGAAATGTTGAATTTTGAATAAAAATGCCTTAATTCGCAAGTTTTTATGCTCGCTTGAGGTGGTTTTTGACTTGTGCGAAAAAGGGTTAATCCGAATAATGGGAGATGGAAATGCATTTTGCGAATAAATTCCTCCAAGCACATCAAAAAAATCATGTGACTTTGTGCTAAGGGACGGCAAATCCTGACTAACCAGCGGACCGATCTTGTTCCACAGCATCTGGAATGTTGTTATGGTCATTCGGAAATGCCAGAGCAATGTTTGTCATCAAAGTATTTCTGTATAATTGCCTCCCAGAACTGTTACACGACTGCGTTCCCAAACAGCAGGCATCCACCTCAGAAAGCATTAACCGCATTTGGTGTATTTCGTCTGCTCGTTCTGAGGTGCAAGTTATTATATAGGAAAATTATTATATTCAGTAGCTTCTCCTACTTAATTATTATAGTGCCAGTTTATCAGGAAGTGACGATTATGTTCTCTTTGACTCGTTGGATGGAAACGGTGCTTGTTTGCAAATGTTTTATGCGATATTACAACACTATCTCACAACCAATTCGTACATATTTTACGAGGTGGCTAATTCGAATGAATTCGCACGACCACCTCACTCGTATGATTTTGTATGATTTGTCTAGACCCCAATGACGGGTAGGTTTAGGGGTGGGGTTAGGTGTAGGTCATCCGTACAAATTCATACGAATTGTACAACTCTTAAATATGTACGATTTAGCAAAAAATCGTATGAATTTGTATGAGTGAGGTCGTACGAATTCGTACGAATTAGCCACCTCGTAAAATATGTACGAATTGCCGTGAGATCAGGCTGGATATTCCAATTTTGCGGGCAAGTTAAATTTGCAACTTTGGATGGAAACCCGGCTTATGACTTACATTTTTGTGTCCCTTCTTCAAAACATCTTTTTTTTGTATTCCACAAAAGAAAGTCAGGTTTAGAATGACATGAGGGTTAGTAAATGATGACAGAATTTTCATCTATGTGTGAACTATTCACTTAAACCCAAGAGCCTTTAAGTAGTAGGCAAACTCACTGAAGTTACTGTAGTCATCTCTATTTCTCCAACACTCTTAAAAGCCAAGATTACAAAAAGTGATTTTCACAGCAAAAGCCATAGAAGAACCAATTATGGTTCCCCTGATAACTTTTCAGTAAACAGTTCTTAAAAGATCAGTTTGTTTCTTAGTGTTAAGAACATTTGCATACTCTAAAGAACCTTTTTATTTATAATATAAAGAACATTTTTGTGGAATGGAAAGATTCCATAAATGGAACCACAAATGGCAAAAAAAAAAAAAAAAACTTTATTTTTTAAAAGTGTACAAGTGTACAATGTCGTTCTATTTGACATTTAATTGGCATTCATGAGTGCAGAAAGAGTGGAATTCAATAAAATTTTGAAACGGGGGTGTTTAATTAGACCGACATTAACATTTCCATTTCATTACCATCTATCACACAACATTATTTCCTTTTGCAAGCGGTGCAGGTTTCCATGTCTTTTCCTCTTTCATCATCTCACAGTATGCAGTCAACGGCCCGCCAGCTCACAACACGCACCACTCTCACTGAATTCTCATTAATCGTCCCTTTACAGCGAGTCTCACAGGAGGAGGCGGCGGGACACAGGGACCTGTCGGCGAATCACCACCCTTGTGTTCCACACATTAGTGGACTATATCGATACACTCTTGAGTAAATGCATGCTAGAATGATAAAGACAAGTTGTTTGATGTGTGAGGAGTTTTAAGAGCCACTTAAAGATGCTTGATTATAAAACAAGTGGGGGTTTTTTTATTCAGAGGACATCCTTTAGAACCAGGTAAAGTGTGTTTGGAGAGAGTTCTCTTAGGAAATAGTCAATGATAAGAAAACGTGGTATTTCTTTGCATACTCTCACTGAATTCTCATTAATCGTCCCTTTACAGCGAGTCTCGCAGGAGGAGGCGGCGGGACACAGGGACCTGTCGGCGAATCACCACCCTTGTGTTCCACACATTAGTGGACTATGTCGATACACTCTTGAGTAAATGCATGCTAGAATGATAAAGACAAGTTGTTTGATGTGTGAGGAGTTTTAAGAGCCACTTAAAGATGCTTGATTATAAAACAAGTGGGGTTTTTTTTATTCAGAGGACATCCTTTAGAACCAGGTAAAGTGTGTTTGGAGAGAGTTCTCTTAGGAAATAGTCAATAATAAGAAAACGTGGTATTTCTTTGCATTAACTTGCTTATTAAAAAAAAAAACTCTGGCACCACAACTACTGTAGACGTAAGTGTAGTTACAGTAAAATCCTGTAAGATACAGATATAATTGTACATATGTCATTTTTAATAGATCAGGCTTCTTTTTCCACTGGCTCCAAATGTGTGACAATAATTGAAGTTTTGAAAGGTGTTGCTACTACAGTGTTGTTATTTTACAGATCTTCTGAATGTGAAAGAATCATTACTAAGATGTTCTGTTGTTCTGGTTCTTGCAAAAAGTGTTTTGCAGTTTAAGAGTTTGACAAAAATCTATTGTCAAAAATCCTTTGATAGTCCTCCAACTGAAATAATCAAAGACTAAAAGGAAAATGATCATGCAAATTAGCTGTCACAACATGCTTTAAACCTTTATTCCAAATCGATCCTCATCTGAATCATTCATCTAAATATACAGTATGTCCTCTCGTCTCTTTCTCTCTCTCAGATGGTGGCATTAGAGAGGCAGGTGTTTGATTTCTTGGGCTACCAGTGGGCTCCTATCCTTGCAAACTTCTTCCACATCCTTGTTGTCATCCTGGGCTTGTTTGGCACCATTCAATATAGACCTCGCTACATTGTGGTGGTAAGTGCTGCTTTAAATTCATCTTTACTATGATGACCTTGTAAATCTCTCAAAAACTGTTTGGGTCACATTTTAATCACCAAAATTAAAATGGAAGAAATTAAGTTTTGATTTTTCTCAGTTGTCATTCTCATTAGATTCTCATCTCATGAATATGGAAGCTTGTTTCTGCCATGGAATAAAAAAGTAATTTTTCTTACAAGGTTATATCTCTGAATTCAGATGTGTTATCTCAGAATTGTGAGTATATAACTCATAACTGTGAGATATAAACTCACAATTGAGAGGAAAAAAACAGAATTGTGAAATTAAAATGACAATTACCTTTTATTTTTTATTCTGTGGTGGGAAAAAAAGAACATTGAGAATAAAGTCATAATTGTGAGATAAAAAGTTGCAATTACCTTTTTGTTATTCTGTGGCAGAAATGGCCTTCCATACATTATAATAAATCTTGTAACGTAAATAAAATAAATAAAACTAATTACAAAAAATGTTTTTTTGCGTTAAGATAATAGGAAGTGTCACAAAATAATCACAAAATGCAATATGCACAAAAAAATGCCCCAAAATATTTCATTTTGTTCATTCTGAAATATGACCCAGACATGTTCTTGACAGATTATGATAGGTTTCTCCAACCATGCTAGCTAAAAATCTGTTTAATAACAGCGTCAGTTTGGATCCGTTTCTTTATGTCAGACTGTTTTAGAAATGCTTATATGCAAATTGTGTTTGCGGCACATGCAAATCTGCTTACTGTTGATCAAAGACAGCAGGCCTCTGAAGCAGAATTGAATGCAGCCCTTTGCTGATAATAGACTCTGTCATACAGCCCTGCAGACACTGGACTAGTCTTATACTTTGACACATTGTATGGCATTTTAATCCCCTAAATCTGCAACTAATTACCATGAATTAAATGATTAGAGTCCAGCTCCCTTCAGTTCCACACTGGGTCAATCCATGATGCAGCTTCACTTCAACTTCAACAGGATTATGAAGCCTTTAGTTCAGTTGATGAGACGGGAAGCAAGCTATTTTGGGATTTTTTAAATATTCATACAGATTTTATTTTATTTTTTATAACAAGAGTCTTCCGTTTACATCATGGCTATGTTCGAAATAGCATCACAGACTATTCTTATTATTGCTACATTATAATTTATAATTCATATCTGAATGTAACATACTGTGCACAGTTTGCACATTTTCTGCATGCTTCGAAAAACGAGATGGCCAACTAAATTTGCCAAAATGTGTATATTGTGTAAATGAGCTAGAAGTAACATCAGCCACAGTAAAATATCTATTTTGATTTATTATTTAATCAGACTGTCAGAAGTCATATAATTTTTTTTATAAAATGGAATTAAATATGGTTACTTTTATTTATTTATTCAAAGATGGTAACTAGACGCTGTGAGAAACATAACGTCTGTGAATACTGTTGTTTCTAACTTTTATCATTGCAAAATGCAGTTTTTCCACTAACTATTAAAATATACATCGTGTATTGCTCATCATGCTCTAAAAACTAAGTTAGTATTCCATTCTAATTATTATTTGCATTATTTTCATATGCATTCTGCTATAGTGTTTTGCTAATATTAGGGGCATTTTCATTCTTGATAGCATTGAAATTGATATAAAGATAATAAGACATAAAACTGAGAAGATGAGTTATTGACATTTTGGTCTTATTGCCAGAAATAGAAAAACTGTAAATATTAAATTGGGAATATCTGCTAAATATGTATTTAGTAAACTTTTAGAAGTACATGAGCATATAAATACACTTTTTATCTAAAGTCACTTACATTTGCATTCAGTGTAGACATTGTATCTATAGCCTCAAAATATAACAAACATGGGTTACAAGCCACATAACGAAGTCTTTAAGACATACATTTTTGAATAATTTTACCTCTAATGTGTATAAAACTCTGAAGCCATTGAATGGGAGTACACAGTAACATCTTAATTATCAATTATTTTGCACTGGACTTTATCAGTAATACTCTTAATAACACTGAGTTGCTCATTACACGTTAGATTTACACATTTGATTACACCAAAATGGGATGATAATTCAATACAAACACAAAATTCTCACAGAGAAGAAATAGAGAAGAAATATTAAGCTAATCAAAGTGACAAAAAGTCGAGAAGCCAAGAATAGACAAAGGCGTGAGAAAGTGTTGAAGACCGATAGATGAGCCTGGAGACAAGACTTGCGGTGCTGAGACTCCTGGGAATGGTGAGGAGTATTGCTCAGGCTTGTGTCCCTGTCATGTGTTATAAAGACTCATTCTGCTTCACAGCAGCTTAAAATGACCCCAGTCACCACATAATGCTGATTTGACATGTGAATCATGCTGTCTGAGGTGCATCGTTTCCCTTCAAGACGTTCATCTTCTGAGAGAGAAACATATTAAAGCCTTAGTCTTGCTGACCTGCTTGTATTTTTATTTTTTTGTCATAAATGGATACGGTGTCCTGTCAAACAAACAGCCAGTTTTAACTTTAAAGGAGTATTCTGAGTGAAACACAACTTGACCTGTCCCTTAAATTTGAGAAAAAAAAGTGTAATTTACAATAATGGAAGTCAATGGGTTAACTGAATCTTTGAGTTTATGAACAGAAATATGAAGCTCATATTGTTGTTAAAGCACTTACATTAAATGATATAGTTTAAAGGGGTCCTATTATGCTCTTTTACAAAGTCTTGATTTTGTTTTGGGGGTGTACTAAAACAGGCTCTCATACTAGGTTGTTCGAAAAACACATTATTTTTTACATATTTTACATTATTACAACACCTCTCTCCCCAGTCTGGCATGAATAGTTGATGGCTCGAATAGTTCCTGTATCAAATGAAGGCCCGCCTTCTGAAATACGAAATGTGCTGTGATTGGTTAGCTGGGCCAGTGTGTGTTGTGATTGGTTAGCTGGGCCAGTGTGTGCTGTGATTGGCTCCACCCGGCGCCTTGTTGGGAAATGTCATGCCCCTTACCATAGCCGCCTGCGAACTTCAGTGTAAATATTGCGTCAAAATCAAATCAATTTGAGCACGATTTAAACCCGGATGATTGTAACCACTCTAAGTTCGTCTGTCTTGGGAAAGCTAGCATGTCTCCGACATAGTGATAACACTCGTTGCCTTCTCTAGTGCAGCTCGACCAGGTCTCGTCCCATTCGTCGATATTTGTGATATCACAGATCCCGGAATATATATGTTGTAGTCCAAACGAGTCGTTCGTTGTAGTTTTTAAAAAGTGATTTCTATTAAATAAAATCTCATTTTGAAGGGAACTTTAAACTTTGTAACTTCGCAGAAATTTTTATGCTCAAACAGCAACATTACCGATTAACTAAAGTTGAAAAAGTGAAAAATCATAATAGCACCCCTTTAAAAGTTAATTATTTGATCTGTAACGGTTTCAGTTCATCTTTGTTTTCATCTTTGTGCGTGGATCTTAATTTCTGTGGTTGGAGTTTGCCTCTTGTAAACTTTTGCAACTTTGCTTCATTTTCAACTTTGTGAGAAACTTAGTTAACCTGTCCAAAATAGAAAAATCCTCAAACAAAGTAGTCTTCTGATTTTGTATATCTGTGGAGGAAATCCCAGTGGAGGGCGTTTTGAAAACAGTCTTCTTCAGTTTGGAGAAAATTGCTCTATAAAGTCGTCTCAAGCTGGTCTTCCGTAAGGCACAGACAGGAAACCTGAGATCCATTTTTACTACTGTGCAGCATAGACTTCTGTATTCTCTTTCAACTCCCCATGAGAACGATCTGCTTCGTGCTATTGACAAAAATGAACGCTCATTTCTTTTTCCCTTTCTGGGAGTTTATATACCAGCCGGCTCAGGTTGGAGCGCTAATTCAGATTAGCATTTCAATGGGATTTATAGGTTCGTAAAATCCTAATTGATTGTGTTTGTGTGTGGTAAACAACAGTACAAACGACTAGGAAGAGACCATTCAATTGAGATGTTCTGCTATAAAAAGAAGATAAAATCAGAACAAAGAAAGATACAAATCTGGAGATGAACGATAAGAGCCTGTGTAAAAGAAATGTGCTTTTCTCAAGACCAAACAAGCTCACTGCGGATGCTTTCAAGCATCTACTCGACTTCTGTTTCCCATATACAACAGCTCTGATGTTACTGCTACTGGAACGGCTTGAGTTTGATCCTGTTCTAGATGGGTAGTTGCCAGCTGTCTCTTGAATAAAAGTTGTCCAATGTGGTAGTACAGTGGTACAGTGATAGTATCATGTGGTAATACCATGGTACTTTAATATATACTTCACGATGCCAAAGAAAAACCTTTTTTTGTTTAAATGGTTCCATAAAGAACCTTTAACATCTGAAGAACCTTTCTGTTTCCCAAAAGGCTCTTTGTGGAGAAAGAAGGTTCTTCAGATTATAAAAAGGTAAAAAAGAGATGGTTCTTTAAAGAACCTTTGACTGAATGGTTCTTTGTGGAACCAAAATTGGTTCTTCTATGGTATCGCTGTGAATAACCTTTTAAGCACCTTTATTTTTAAGAGTGTCCTGTATGGTTTTACTGAAATAATGTGATGTGATATGAATATTTAGTCATTTATTCTTCTGTGGAGCACAAAAAAAGAGATGAACATGTTTTGTCTATACTATGAAAGTCAATGGGGTCTAAAAGTTGTTTTAGATCTCTTTCATTGTATGAACATAAGCAGAAACAAAGAAAGTCATATAGGTTTCTAATGACATGATGGTGAGTAAATAATAACAAAATTTCTAATTTTCAGTCAACGATCTCTTTAAGGTTGTATGTTATGTATCGTAACATACAGTATAAGAAAAAAATCCATAGAAAAATGGATAATGTCCTGGCAGAAAATTTCTTTTTCTGTCAAGTTTCTAGGCTTTTCACATTAACAAAGTGCATTTGTGTCATATTTTTTACAGAAGTTTCTTATACTGTGGCCACATTAGCGATATTTCATTGAAATTTAGGGGACAAACAAAATACATTGTCAATAGTGTAAAAAGTACAGCTCACACAGAAGTCACTTTCAAACAAATCAGCTTTCAGGTTAGTCAGTGCTGCAAATTCATGTGATCAACTTGAACATGAGCGAAATCTGCTTTGGGACATTTGGGAAGTTTCATCGAGCAACAGTAAATGTGACCATACCAGTGTAGCCTATGTTTGAATATTGGAATGAATTGTTGGAGTAATGAATTGTCCATCTTTTTGACAGTATACTGTGTGGACAGCGCTGTGGGTGACCTGGAATGTCTTTATCATCTGCTTCTACCTGGAGGTTGGAGGTCTATCAAAGGTAAGAGAGATTTCCGCCTAAAGTTACACATGGGTCAGCCGTCAGTGTTTAAGAGTACTAGGCATTTTAATGACCCTGTTTTACAGCTAAATGGGGCAGTTTATGATGTTTTAACAGACTGTTTAAAACATTATTTAGAAGTGCCAGAGCTTTGTCTTACACTTAGGTTTGCATTGAACACACCAGAAACTGGCAGATAAAACAACAGGGCTTCTTTGTAGAGGAAATGAATTCAGATGAAAGCCTTTTGGAAAGCAGAAGTTGTGTTATCCCCAACCCATCCCATGATACACTTCTGTCTACATGTGCTGACAGGTCATGGACTCAAACACTCAGCCCCTAGTGTGTTAGTACAGTGAGAAACAAGCTGGCTGTATAATTGACACATTCTCCTCTCTCTGTGTGCTTGTTTATGACTCCTGCTTGGCCAGTTTCCTGGACTCAGATTTCTTGTTCCCACAATGAAAAGCTCTTATCCGCTTTCAGAAGGTGGAGTGAGATTGCACAAGAACATCTTAAAGTCTGAATGCAGATGCATGAGGAGTAAATCTGGTACATGTATAATGAGCTGCTTTTCCACAATTGTTGCAGCTGCATGGGACAAATGACTCATTTTATCTCAGGACAAAGGAAATATTTGTCCAAAAAACATAAAGAATTCATGCTTAGGAAATATTGGGTTTGGGTGACCATGATTTTTATCAAGCAGAACATGTTCCTGGATCAACATACAGTACTCTTTTTTTTTTTTTTTTTTTTCCTGGAACTAACCAATCAGATTTCAGGGGTTACAGTTAAGTTAGGACTAAGTTTGGGATCTGAAGATAATTTAATTTCCCTCTCATTTTAAGAAATGATAATAGTTGTGGTTGGGAATAGGGTTAGGACAATGTTTTGTTTGACAGGAATGTTGTTCCAGGTCCAACAAAAGAGGTTAATTACATCCTCCTCAGTAAAATGACAGTCACTATTGGAGTGTGTAAGAATGTTCTGCGTACCTGCTTAGAGGATGTTTCTTTACCGGTTTTGCTTCAAAATCCAGATTTTACATTGGACATCAAGTGGAGAGGCAACACAGTATCAAAATTGTTTACAATACAAAATTTGTTAAATTGATCAAAAGTGACCATAAAGACATTGCAATTTTACAGAAGATTTCTGTTTCAAATAAATGCTCTTAATTTATTTTAAGTTTAATTGATTAACAAATGTTAAAATGATTTCTGAAGGATCATGCGACACCAAAGACTGGAGTAATGATGCTGAAAATTCAGCTTTGCATCACAGGAATAAATTACATATTAAAATATATTCATATAGAAAAGAGTTGTTTTGAATTGCAGTAATATTTCACAATATTGCTGTTTTCACTGTATTTATAATCAAATAACTGCAACCTTGATGAACACGAGACTTGTTTTAAAAACATAAAAAACTTAACAAATCCAAACTTTTAAACAGTAGTTTATTCATTTGTTTCTTATATATATATTACTTTGAAAAATCTCAAAAGGCTTTTTCTTATATATTGAGTGCTTGGTTTCTTAGTGTCTCTTGAATTTCAGTGGCTTCAATGACTCTGCAGCCATCACAATATTGCTGTTTTCACTGTATTTATTTAGACTTGTTTTAAAAACATAAAAAAACTTAACAAATCCAAACTTTTAAACAGTAGTTTATTCATTTGTTTCTTATATACAGTGGGTACGGAAAGTATTCAGACCCCCTTAAATTTTTCACTCTTTGTTATATTGCAGCCATTTGCTAAAATCATTTAAGTTAATTTTTTTTCCTCATTAATGTACACACAGCACCCCATATTGACAGAAAAACACAGAATTGTTGACATTTTTGCAGATTTATTAAAAAAGAAAAAACTGAAATATCACATGGTCCTAAATATTCAGACCCTTTGCTCAGTATTTAGTAGAAGCACCCTTTTGATCGAATACAGCCATGAGTCTTTTTGGGAAAGATGCAACAAGTTATTCACACCTGGATTTGGGGATCCTCTGCCATCCCTCCTTGCAGATCCTCTCCAGTTCTGTCAGGTTGGATAGTAAACGTTGGTGGACAGCCATTTTTAGGTCGCTCCAGAGATGCTCAATTGGGTTTAAGTCAGGGCTCTGGCTGGGCCATTCAAGAACAGTCACAGAGTTGTTGTGAAACCACTCCTTCGTTATTTTAGCTGTGTGCTTAGGGTCATTGTCTTGTTGGAAGATAAACCTTCGGCCCAGTCTGAGGTCCTGAGCACTCTGGAGAAGGTTTTCGTCCAGGATATCCCTGTACTTGGCCACACTGTATATATTACTTTGAAAAATCTCAAAAGGCTTTTTCTTATATATTGAGTGCTTGGTTTCTTAGTGTCTCTTGAATTTCAGTGGCTTCAATGACTCTGCAGCCAATAATTCATCCCACAAAACCTAATGCGTTCAGCACAATCCACCCTTCTATTTGTATCAGCTGTTTTTAATGTTGTTTGATTCATGTATTTATTTGAATCTTTTTAGTTTTGTTCTTTGCTCATAAGAGAGTTGTGTAATTGGACACATGGCCTTGAACGTTAACAACAAAAGATATGGGAAGTATTTTCTGCGCTTAGTTATTAATTTATTTTATGCTTATGTGCTCAGTCACATTTTATGCTACCTTGATTTTTGTGAGGTTTTTTTGTCTTTCATCCTCATCCTCTTCTTCCTCTGTCTCACACAGTCACGCTCCGTCACTCCCTCCCTTTTCTTTACTGTGCTGTCACAGGTGGGACACCCTTCCCCCAAACCCCCCCCCACCATAAAGTCAAGGCATGAATATTCATGAGCTGATTCAGACATATCTGCTGTCCAGAAAGCAGCAAGTTTGCGCATTGATCCTTTCTTTTTAGTCTCTGTGTGTTTATTTGTGTGTGTGTGTCCTCCTGCTGTCCATATGTAGCGGTGAGGGAGCGCTGTGTGTCCATCTGTCAGGTTAATGCCTGAGTCCGACCCTCTGCCACCTGCTCCCCATTATTCAGCCTTTTTCATGCAACCCCTGCATTAACACGGCCCACCACAAGCCTCAATGAAACACCTCAAAATATGTATATTGAGTATATAGCTCACTGATGTCTCTACTGTCATAGAGCAAATGACACGCCATATGATAATATCATGCTGCACCCCACAGGACCCCAACTGTAAGACTGATTATGATTAGAATGAGTCTGAATGAAACAGTCTGACGTTAGATTCTATGTATCTGTCTGTCTCTCTGTCTGCCGTCTAGCAGTGTTTATCAAATCTGCCTATCTGTTTGTCTTGTAATGTTGATCATATCTGTCTATCTGTCCGTCAGTCCGTCAATGTGTTTATAGTGTCTGTTTGTCTGTCTCTCTCTCACACAGTGTTTATCATGTCTGTCTCAGTGTGTTTATCATGTCTATCTATCTGTCTGTCTTGCAGTGTTAATCATGTGTGTCTGTTGTATTGCAGTGTTTATCATGTGGTTCTCATGATGATAGTGATAAATGGTCTTTGTCAGTGTCTCACAATGTTTGTCATGTCTGTCTGTCTCTCATTGTCTGTCTTACAGTGTTTATCATATATGTCTGTCTGTCTGTCTGTCTGTCTTGCAGTGTTTATCGTGTCTTTCTGTCTCGTATTGTTTCTGTCTGTCTCTCTTTATTTTTATCTGTCTGTCTCGCAGTGTTTGTCTGTTTCTAGTGTTTGTCTGTTTGTCTCATGTTGTGTTTATCATGTTTGTTTGTTTGTCTTGCATTGTTTATCATACCTGTCTGTCTCCCAGTGTTTATCATGTATGTCTCTTGCATAGTTTATTATGTCTGTCTGTCTCCAAGTGTTTATAATGCCTGTCTGTCTTATAGTGTTTAGCATGTCTATTTCAGTGTTTATCATGTCTTTCTGTCTCCCAGTGTTTATCATGTATGTCTCTTGCATAGTTTATTATGTCTGTCTGTCTCCAAGTGTTTATAATGCCTGTCTGTCTTATAGTGTTTATCATGTCTATTTCAGTGTTTATCATGTCTTTCTGTCTCCCAGTGTTTATTATGCCTGTCTTTCTTACAGTGTTGATCATGTCTGTCAGTTAGTGTTTATCATGTCTGTCTGTCTTGCATTGTTTGTCATGTCTGTCAGTCTCCCAGTTAATCATGTCTGTCTGTCTCCCAGTTAATCATGTCTGTGTCTGTCTCCCAGTGTTTATCATGTCTGTCTGTCTTGCATTGTTTGTCATGTCTGTCAGTCTCCCAATTAATCATGTCTGTCTGTCTCCCAGTGTTTATCGTGTCTGTCTGTCTTGCATTGTTTGTCATGTCTGTCAGTCTCCCAGTTAATCATGTCTGTCTGTCTCCCAGTGTTTATCATATCTGTCTGTCTTGCATTGTTTGTCATGTCTGTCAGTCTCCCAATTAATGATGTCTGTCTGTCTCCCAGTGTTTATCGTGTCTGTCTGTCTGTCTGTCTGTTTGTCTCGCAGTGTTTATCATGTGATTCACATGATACACTGTCAGTGTATTTATCATGTCTGTCTCTCTTGCCATGTTTATCTGTCTGTTTGTCTCGCAGTGTTTATCATGTGATTCACATGATACACTGTCAGTGTATTTATCATGTCTGTCTCTCTTGCCATGTTTATCTGTCTGTCTCTCATTGTCTATCTGTCTGGTAGTGTTTATTATGCCTGTCTGTTTTAAATTATATTTATCATGTCTGACTGTCTCACAATGTGTTTATTAGGTCTGTTTGTCTCTCTGTCTCACGATGTTTATCACGTCTGTCTCTCTTAGTCTCGCAGTATGTTTATTATATCTGTCTGCCTGTCTATCTGTCTGTCTCTCAATTGGTAGGGGTATTTAAATAACTATTCATTGTAGTTCTACTTGCTTGAATTACAATTCTGCTTCATGTTTGCTATATAAATTCTAATTTATTTTAGGAATTGAACTAAGTGTAATTTAAACATTCTCAATTCAATTCTGAATGCTGCAGTGTGCTGGTATCCATGAAATGCAGGCACAATATGTGAAATGAGGCAGTGCATCCATGTTGCTGTTTAACAGATCACACTGTCAATATGATAGTGTACACCTATGATATTCAAACACATGCATAAATCAGTATGAGTGAGTCAAACTGGTGCAAATGGACAAATTAAATAAGCAACTCATCTACTTAGATATCTCTTTTGGAAACAAATGAATCAAACTGTTTTTAGCAGATAAATTATAAAATGCACCTCCATTCCTGTCAGCGTAAAGGGGGGAAAAGTGACTATTTTAATAATAATAATAATATTAATTTTAGAAGTCTACTGTGCTCATTCTTTGATCTTTAATCTTCTTGTCTTAAAGTATTTTGCTGTCATCAACAACATAACCGCACATGAATCTATGATGGCTGTGAGCGCTGCCATGGAAACTAATAAGTCAGAAGACTCAAACCGCTCAGAGTTGTCATCTCATAATTACGATAATTCTGACACAACATGAATGTGGAATTAATCTCTCACATTCAGGTAATGGAGAACCATATTAACTCTCTGAACATGAGACATGTAGTTTCACTGAAGAGGAAAGGCATATTAAGTGCTTGGGCACTTTATGAAACACGCTCTCTCTCTCTCTCTGTTTGCTTGATTGAGGTGTTTTGGTGGGGTGCCTCTCATGCATGGCCGCAGGCTGTGACTGTCAGTCTCACACTGTGGCTATGATTAAATACGGGACAGGACAGTCTGTATCGACCCCCTCTCTGAACATGCAAACACACACTCGTCTCAGTGACATATAGTGATGCGTATAATGATAATGCCTGCCGATGATGAAGGGGACAAACGCCTCTGTGTCTCCATTAGCCAGAAAGAGGTCAAGGACGAGTTCCTCTCTAATAAGCATAGGAAAGTCCATACATTTTCATTTTGACAAGTGTCATTCATCTCATACAGCCTGAGAACTGTGTGGATTGACAGAATCCATTATATCTGATGTACACGTATCCGTGAGCGTAAGAGGAACATTTGCAAAACAGACGCATAACTTTGAGGTGACACTTGTATTTCATTGCACTTTCACACATGCAGCGTTCAGGTTAAGGACTGTGTGAACAAACGCAAACATGATTATTCCCTTTATTTGCAGTAATATGTGAACTGGGAGTCAGAAATTGTTATTTTAAATGGAAAGAAATGTTGTAAGATAGTATTCCTGAACAAGCTGTTGCACAAAATGATAATAGGGCTGGGCCATATAGCTAGTAATATTGTCAGCACTTTTATGATGTTTGATATATTTCCTGATATTTATGTACTTGCTCTGAAATGCCTTTAAAGTGTTTGTTCCTTTTATTTTTCTTTCCCAAATTGTATTTTCTATTTTGTCCACACGTGCATTATAGCCTATTAGATACTAGCTATATATTTATGTTTTTATATATATTTTATATTTATATATTTTAACATACTGGTAAAAAAATGTATAGCCTGAATGCACTGTAAGTCGCTTTGGATAAAAGCGTCTGCTAAATGCATAAATTATTTAAATTTTTAAATATATGTAGATATTTATATACATACATGCACACACTCTATTGATTAATATTTATTTAAAAACTAATTAAACTCTATTAGTTACAAAATTTATGTTTTTCTTGTGCATCACAGAACCAAACAGCATTTTTAAACATATTACAATAGAAAACAATCATTTTTGAGAAGAAATTGTAAAAAAAAATGTCTTAATATTAAAAACCAGAATATTGTAAAATATTACAATTTAGTAATGTCACACTATTACTGTTATTACTGTATTTTTATCAGATAACTGCAGGCTTGATGAGCATAAGAGACCTCTCTTAAAAAAACTTAATTATTCCAAACTTTTTTTTATTCAATAATATATTGTTTTTAAAATGATTTATGTGATTTATTTGATATCATTTATTTTATTTATATAGACCAGTAAAAAAGGCATATAATAATAAATACATATAAATGTGACCTACTGACATGGTTTTAATGAAACTTAAGTACTAAATAAAAAAATTTATGTTTATCATCATAAAATATGTTTAAATCATCACAAAATTCACAATGTTGGTTAAATTTACATTGCCAAAAATACACTGTCATAAATTGCCTGGCCCTAACTGCTAGTAGATAATGTGAGAGATTATAATGTGAGAGATTTAACAACATAATGGAGATAGTGTGTGTATACAATATGTAACCACAGAAAACAATTGCTTGTGTGAATAACTAATGCATAACACATGACAATTTTACCTAATTTATCAGTTTTCATGTGTAAAAGTGGTCATAAATATGACCACAACAAATAAACAATGAACGCATATTAAAAGCGATAGTGTGCTTCTTCCATCTTTTGTATGTATACGTGTCTTTCCTCCCTCTCTCATGTCTATGGAACAGATTATTTGTTAGCTCCGTGCTCAATTATGCATGCATGCTTTACAGCGCACAGCCTCTCTGTCACTCACTCCCTCATCCTTTATATTGACATGTGGCTGAGGCTGATGACAGCTCCTCTTCTCTGTTGTTTTAGGACAGCGACCTCTTGACCTTTAACATCTCGGCACACCACTCCTGGTGGAGCGAGCATGGGCCAGGCTGTGTCCGAAGAGAGATCCCTGCCAGCGGAAACCGTAGCGCAGACGCACAGTCCTATATATCCATCATGGGCTGCCTGCTGGAGTACCAGTACATTGAAGTCCTGCACAGCAGCTTCCAAATCCTTATCTCTGTAAGTCACTCACTCCAAACACATACACACACAAACAAATATGCCATGTCATGCAGAAAAGCTAAAACACTCAATAAGTGTTCCTTCAATAGTCCAAAAGCCCTGTTTTTACTCTAGTTTATGGTCTTCACGCACTATATTTAGACTTACTATATGTGTATGTCTGCTACATAGCATAACTAAAAGCGTCCCATAATGCACGTTTTTTCCAGACACGCTTCCATCCAAATGGTGATTTTTCATTACTGTAGGAAATCATTGGCTGTCTCTCTACACTTAGCCAGTCCTTTAAAGCCACAGCAGACTAAAGTGTAGCCTGCACACACCGTACAGGTGTAAAACGCCCCTGCCTGAGTCCTGAAGCCCTGCTGTTGTGCTGAAGTGGCCCCTTGAGTTGAGGTCTGGCGCGGCTCCAGGGTTAGTTGGGTAAACTCAATGGATTATAATCAGCAGGCAGCAAGCAGAAAGACTGTGAGCTCATTTTCTGAAAAGGGATTTGTTTTATTGACTTAAATGCGCTGTAGACAATGGCCTCCAAAAGTATTTGGACTTGGCCACACTTATAATTTCTGAATGTTATTGCATTAGATACAAAAAACAAAATATTAAACCAAGTGGCATCTGCAAATGCCAGTGCAATATATAATATACAATATTAGGGCCAAATCGAATAATCGATTGTCAAATCGATTAATCGCGATTAATTAATATATATCACATATATATTTCTTAAATATATACATGTGTGTGTATTTATATATTAGTATACACAGTACACACACATTATGTAAACACAAACATTTATTTTGGATGTGATTAATCGCGATTAATCGATTTGACAGCCCCATAACGCATAGCATAGCATAGCATAGCATAGCATAACATAACATAACATAACATATAACATAACATAACACAACATATAACGCAACACATAACATTACACATAACATAACACATAACATAACATCATATAACAACATAACACCATTTAAAAGGTTGGGGGTCCATTGTTTTAAGAAATTAATACTTTTTTCAGCAAAGAGACATTAAATTGATCAAAAGTGACAGTAAAGACATGTATGTTTTTACAAAAGGTTTGTATTTCAAATAAATGTGAGCCAAACTGGTTCAGTGTAGGTTAGGAGTGTTGGAAGCTTATTCAGAGTGATGATTATCTGCTCATGCTCAAACAATGAACTGATAACTTCATGGTGAGAGTTGAACAAAGTGGCCTGCAGGAAGTGGGAGCTTAAACACACTCCAGTCAAGTTCCTACAGGCTTCTTCAATGGGAATGCAGAGATTAGTGAGAGGGAATCAGATCTTTATCTCCAGTGCCCAAAGTACTCAGCTTGTGGTCTTGTCACCACAGTTTGAAAATTAAGTACTAAAATGCTCAGACAAATGAGAAGATGGCTAAAGGGCCATGTGAATCTCTCAAAGAGGTTTGAATGAATTAATTAATAAATGAATAAATAATTTAATAATTAAATAAATAAATACGTTTATTATTGCATTATCATTGCAGAAGAAAAATTACTGTATTGAAGAAAAAATACTGTAATGGAATCTTGCATCTTAAATGTGATACTGTATCTTAATTGCTCTAAATCGTTTTTAGTTATTCAGTATATAATTATTATAATTTATATTATAATTAGTATCATTATGTAAACACAAACATTTATTTTGGATGTGATTAATCGCGATTAATCGATTTGACAGCCCCATAACGCATAGCATAGCATAGCATAGCATAGCATAACATAACATAACATAACATATAACATAACATAACACAACATATAACGCAACACATAACATTACACATAACATAACACATAACATAACATCATATAACAACATAACACCATTTAAAAGGTTGGGGGTCCATTGTTTTAAGAAATTAATACTTTTTTCAGCAAAGAGACATTAAATTGATCAAAAGTGACAGTAAAGACATGTATGTTTTTACAAAAGGTTTGTATTTCAAATAAATGTGAGCCAAACTGGTTCAGTGTAGGTTAGGAGTGTTGGAAGCTTATTCAGAGTGATGATTATCTGCTCATGCTCAAACAATGAACTGATAACTTCATGGTGAGAGTTGAACAAAGTGGCCTGCAGGAAGTGGGAGCTTAAACACACTCCAGTCAAGTTCCTACAGGCTTCTTCAATGGGAATGCAGAGATTAGTGAGAGGGAATCAGATCTTTATCTCCAGTGCCCAAAGTACTCAGCTTGTGGTCTTGTCACCACAGTTTGAAAATTAAGTACTAAAATGCTCAGACAAATGAGAAGATGGCTAAAGGGCCATGTGAATCTCTCAAAGAGGTTTGAATGAATTAATTAATAAATGAATAAATAATTTAATAATTAAATAAATAAATACGTTTATTATTGCATTATCATTGCAGAAGAAAAATTACTGTATTGAAGAAAAAATACTGTAATGGAATCTTGCATCTTAAATGTGATACTGTATCTTAATTGCTCTAAATCGTTTTTAGTTATTCAGTATATAATTATTATAATTTATATTATAATTAGTATTATGAATTCAGACTTCTTGACTAAATAATTTTGATCCACTGAAAAAAATAATAAAAAATATACGCATATTTACTAGTGCTGTCAAACGATTAATCGCGATTAATCGCATCCAAAATAAAACTTTTTGTTTATATAATATATGTGTGTACTGTGTATATTTATTATGTATATATAAATATACATGAATATAAATATAGACATGTAAATACAAATATTTTCAAAATATATACTGTATGTGTGTGTATTTATATATACATAATAAATATACACAGTACACACACACACACATATATATATATATATTATATAAACAAAAACTTTTATTTTACACTAACTAACTAAATAAATAAATAAATATATTTGGGAGAAATATGGTATACACAATACACACATATATATATATATATATTATATAAACAAAAACTTTTATTTTACACTAACTAACTAAATAAATAAATAAATATATTTGGGAGAAATATGGCTGGTGTTGGTGGGCAACATTGGGAGAGAGGTTTGTCACTTGTGACAAATTGTTTCGTTGCTCAGGATTGAGAGGGCAAACGATAGAGCAAGCGAATCGGGCCAGATGCGTGTCTCCGTGTGTATCTTCAGACTTTAAACTAGATCACTATCAAAAAGACTTCTGCTGTAGTGAATAGTCACGTTCTCATGCTTCTGAGAACTTCGTCACAGGAGGACAGTCAGAGAGCAGGACACACACCTGAGACGACAAGTGAACAACTGAAAGAGTCATTAGCAGAGCTTCATGTAAATCCCTCCCTCTATGACAACTGAGAGGTGCGTAAGTGAGAGCACCATCTGCTTTCCTCATTAGTGTAACTCAGAGGGAGCTACCTGTGCGGAGAACTCATAAACATCGTCCTTCAGATGAGATCTGTTCTTCTGTTGTTCATTCTTCAGCATTCTTCTTCTTTCTGGGATTACACTTTTAGCTCTCAATGACTGATTTCATTTATTTATTTTTACCACTTTGGCCTGCCGTGATTACTTTTCTTTAAATATCTGTGCACAAATGTAGTTATTTATGAGGACTAGTTTGGCATGATGATTATATTATATTATATTATATTATATTATATTATATTGTATTGTATTGTATTGTATTGTATTGTATTGTATTGTATTTTATTTTGATTAAAAAATTAACAAATGAATGCTCCAAAGTTTGGTAATGGGATTGCAAAATGAAATCAAATTAATATAATATTTAGTTTGACCTCCTGAGGTTGACAGTCAACATATTTTGAAGGTTAAGCACCTTCTTTCACTCACCATTTTTCAAAGAAGAAAAACAGTACTGCTGTCATTACTAGTATGCGTCTCAGTTTTCACTTTTCTGTACTTTTTCCATTTATGTTTTATCAGCACAAGTGGGTGGATGAGTTCATTCCTCTTCCATCTTTGTCTCTTGCTGTTTTCCCACTTTTTTTCTCATCTGACATCTCTTCCTCTCATATCTCAGTTGCTTCTCTGTTCAGTAAAACACTGAAGTCAAGATAAGGCAGTTTCAGGTTCAGACAGAGAAGAATATCTTGTCAGGATGGTATGGGAATTCATCACTTCTTTTCCCATCATGCTCTCTGCCCCAGGGAGCGACAATAGATAGCTGTAAATTCAAGGAACTTTTTACCCGAAATTCAATCCACACTGAAAATCTACTAGATATCCAAAAACTTTTTTGTTGTTGTTGCAAAGTTTAGTATTGCATTGAGGCCACAAAGTAAAACAGGTGTGGCATCATTTCAAAAGAAAACCGTCCAAAACTTTTCAAACTATTTTCTATGGTGGCCGAGAAGTGCAAAGCAGATCACAATTCTGAAAACAAAAGAACAAATTACAAACGCAAATGCAAGTCTAAAAAACAAAATTCGCTCCCTGTGGCGGTTTAATCACTTCATGTACACACAAATGTAAGTGGATGTTTGATTAGACGTGGCCAGTTGCAAACATCTGAGAGCCGTCTGTTCAGCCGCTCGGCAGCCATGACAGGTGGAATATTTGTGCCTGGTTTTAATCTCAGATCTGGTGGGTGTGAAGTGCTGTAAGTGTGTTTGCGTGTGTGTTGCAGCGAGAGCACTTTTGTGCAGTGTTGTTGAGAGTGCTCTGAATCAGATGTGATACGGCTGTGAATTCTGCCTCCGGCGACTGAAGGAGAGAGAGAGAGAGAGACATCAGAAGTGCTATTTACGGAGTCTGTGTGTATGTGCTGGACTAATTTCTGTCACAGCAGGGTGACTTTGGCACATAATTACCCTGTCAGACATCATGTTCATGTGGTGGGTCGAAGCATTAGGTTTTTGTGATGTGTGTCCGTCTTTCAGACATATATTCACAGTTTCTGGGTTTGTATTACTGCAGTCTCTCTTATTATTATTTTTCTCTCCCTCGGCGGGGAGTTTTTGGACTGATGCTCCTGCTGGTGGTCACT